TAAAATCCCAAAATGAGATTCTTCTTCCATGAAGAGGGCTAGATCTCATGCATGAACCCATTAAGACGTCCAAGATGGAGACTTTACTGCTTATGGGACCTTTTTAGCTCTAAAGGTGGCAACCCTAAGATCAAACACTAGGTTTCATAAAAAAGGTCCATTCTTTGGACCTAAAATGGTCCAAATCTCCATAAACCTAGATCTAAACTTCTATAAGGAAAGTTGGAAGCTTTATACCTTTTGGGGTTTGTAAATGAGCTGGAGAACTTGGATCCAAAAGCTCTTCCTTGATCAATGAGACTCCAAGATGATCACACCTCTCCAAGAACACTAAAATGCACTAAAAATGGCCTTACAAGCTCCAACAACACTCAAGAGGGTTTAGGGTTTCGTAGCAGCTCTTTAGGGTGAAATTGAGGCTGAATCTTGAGGATATAATGTTCCTTAAATCGTGGCACACCCTAAATTTAGGGGTTTTGGACTCTGGACGTACGCCAAAAAGCAACCGCGACCATTTCCCTTTTACGCAGGGTGTAACCCAGCTTATGCAGGGCATACCCACGTGTCTTCCACTTTGCATGCATGGTCCTTCTTTGCCAACTTTTTCATTAATGGGCCATTAATGTCAATAACTTCAAAATGCTATAACCCCTTCGTTCTAAGTTCGTTTCCGACGAACTTTATATCCACGAAAAGGTGACGAGAAGTCCTTCTCTTCTAGTGGCACATCTCAACCCAAAAATTCTCAAATAAAAACTTTAAGACCCATAAAAGACTGAAACACCCCCATCCTTGGGCTCTGGAATCCAATAACGGATACTTTCAGAACAGAGTGTTACATAAAATTATCGTGCTATTTTTTGATAGTAAAATGTTGGGTTTGGGTTTTGTGTCGGGGCGAAATCGAAGACGAATCCGTTTGTGGTATGTAAATTGATGACTCAATCGAACGAATATTTGCACATGATTTACTACGAGCGGTAAATTGAGGGTTGTTTATATTCATTTTTGAAAAGCAAAGGTTTCAAATTTTGTATAAATTGAAAATGGATTGTGTCTGAAAAATAGATGTTACCGATGTTAGTCATGTCACACCGGAACACCAAGCAAAACGACCTCGAGATGTGCAAGTCTTGTGGAACTATGAATTGCTAAATTTGATGTTCGACACACTCAAACAAAAAAAAAACAGATTGGTTCTCAAATAGTACCAAACAAAAGCAAAAGGGCACCCTAAAATTGCAACCGATGAGAAAGAATAAATATGTTAATGGCCAAGGGGCAAATTAAAACGATCTGTTGCGATAAAATTGGATAGAAGAATTTGATTTTACACAAAATCCAAAAACCTTCAAAAACCATTTCAATGAAAAAAAAACAACCTAACAATATATAAATTGTTTCCATTAAAATAAGATATACAGATTTGCCTAAAGCATTTGCAAATTGCAACTACACGTTTAAGTCGTCACCACTGAGTACTCTATGTAGAGACCTAATCAACAGCACTCAACCATTTCATAAGGGCATAAGGAACCATCAACAATCATATACAAGTTCACCAACTAATTCACATCCAACCAGAAGATTTATAAGAAACTTAAACATGGAAAATGACGTTATGGATACCTAATTATAAAAACCAAAACTTCTCAAATAGATTCAACTGTTTGACAACAAAATATAACCAATTCATAATCTGATACCCACCTAATTCATCGAGAAAGATGAAATTTTATAATGAGTAAGCCATAAACCCCCAAATCTAAGAACTAGTAAATTTGGTAACAGCCTTCGTCCCTTCCGAGACAACATGCTTTGCCAACTCCCCTGGAAAAACCAACCTCACCGCTGTCTGAATCTCCCTTGACGTAATTGTAGGCTTCTTGTTGTACCTCGCAAGCTTCGATGATTCTGAAGCAAGCTTCTCAAAGATGTCATTAATGAAGGAATTCATTATACCCATTGCCTTGCTTGAGATCCCGATATCAGGATGAACCTGCTTCAACAATTTAAAGATGTAGATCTTGTATGTCTCCACGTTCTTCTTGCTTCTCTTCTTCTTCTTCTTGTCGGCGGCACCGGCGCCAGATTCCTTGGGAAGCTTCTTCCCGGCCTTTGGTTTTTTCTCGGCGGGGGCTTTTTCAGTGACGACGACTTTCTTCTCCTCCGCGAGCTTCTTCTCAGCTGGCTTCTTCTCTGCTTTTGGCCCCATTGAAGGTATTTGAATTTTAGAGAAAAAGAGACTGATTTTCTAGAGAGAGAAAGATTGTTGTTTGTGGGATGTGATGGTATGAACGGAGGTTGGCATTATATATGAACTGAGATGTGTGATCTGATTGGTTGATTTTAATTGACACGGATCGCGAGTAGTTGGCATCTGATTGGTTGATTTTATTAGGGAGAAATAAGTCATTGCACATATTTGTTTCCCTTAGAGATAAATAATATACATGATAAAATAAATATCAATGAAGTTTAAAAAACATGATCATTAATCATATATTTACAAAATTACCAATCACAATTGTGAGATCGAAATAAAAACCAAAGTCAAATCAATTTGAATTCTTCCAAAATTATGTGCATAATGATTTTTTTATGTGTGATTATAGAACTTAAATATAAAAAATACATATAAAATACAATGTTGATGAGTATTTATAAAGAACAAAATCATTGATTATGATATATTTTTAACTACTATAATGAACTTTAATTTAATAATAATAACAATAATAATAATAATAATAATAATAATAATAATAATAATAATATAAAAATTAAATAAAAAACAGTAATAATATGTTATGCGGCATGAATGATAGAATAAAACGGATGAGAAAAAAGGAATAAATAAGTTTGTGCTTGATTTTGGGAAACAATGAAAAATTAATCAATAAAAATATCTTAAAAATCATATAAGGTGTTTATATGGAAAAATATGATGTTTTAACTCTTATTTTTATATTTTAATTGAAATTGAGATGAATCTTTTTGAATTTAAGTTTTCGATGTGACTCTAGCATTAATTATGATTAATATGATGGGATAATGTCACTGTAGCACATGGAACTTTTAACATTTGGCTAATTTGGTCCTTAAAGTTTTTTTTAGTACATTAGACCATTAAACTCGTAATTGACCTTTCAATTACACCATTTTAGAAGGTTTCTCGGTTACAATGCTTATGTGGCACACTGATGTGTCCAATAAGCTTACGTGGTCCAGTTGTCGATACAGGCTTATTAATTGAAACCCTCATTCATACCTCCTTTCAATCTTTACTTACCCTTCTCTGAAAAGTCAAAGACTTCTCCCTCCCCGACTATTTCCATCCTGAAGAAGAATGTCTTCGAGCTCATCGACGTCAAGGAATTAGTTACAAGTCACTCATGTTCAGTCGCAAGAAGGGGTAAAAGTTTGTGATTGTGGCGTTCCAGCTAAAGAACGAACTTGTTGGAAGATAACAAACCCTGGGAGGCGATTCTGGAATTGTCAAAACAGTATGGTAGGTCCTGATTCTCTTGATTTTGATAATTTAGTATTTTATGGTTTGATGTGTTGTTTCTTTCTGTAAAGACGATAATGATGTATTTGTATTTTGTTTCATCTGTTAAAAACCCTAATTGTATTTGCTTCTTGACGATCACTGTGAATAAAACCCATTTCGCTGGTACATTAAAGGTAGTTGATTTGTGATTGTCAATCAAACCCTAATTTTATTGGCTTTTTATAGACTAGGTTGAGGAAATGTAGCTTCTTTGAATGGAAAGATGAAGAACAGGCAGACGGGTACTACAAAAACCTGTTATACTCTCTGAAGCAGAAACTGGATGCCAAAGATGAACTGTCTGAGATGAAAAAATTGAGGAGAAGGATTGCTGAAGTGGAGTTTCTGCTATCACAGGAGCAGTATAAGGTGGCAAAGAGTGAGAAAGAAGTTCATGATGCAAGGAAGGCAATAGGCAGGTACAGGATGATAGTTGCCCTGTTCTTTGCTTGCTTGGCCCTATGTGTTTTGAAGTTAGGGGGGTCAATGTAGTTAGTTTGGTTGGTTAGTGTAAGCTTTTGTTTTTTTGGGATCCCTTGTATTTTTGTAAAGGCATACTAGAAAGTTAGTTCCATAAGGGCATTTTGTATGTATTGAAGCTGGTTTTAGTTATAAGTTGGGGTTATCAACCTTAATGTGTTGATGTTGTAAGGTGGTAAGTCCCTAATGAAAGGGCATATGATAAGTAATGTAAAAAAATATTCAAAGTCCCAATTGTAGGGCATTTTGTATAATCAAATGATGTTTATCAAACATATGCATGGTCTATATTCCCTACAAATATATTTAATTAGGAAGTGGTCCATGTGGAAGTACACTATGTGTATGGGGACCATTTTAATAATGAAAAAATGGGACCTGTGAAGCCATTAAAAAACCAAATCCGGGGCCATATAAAACATCCCCATGCATGCCATTATTCCAATTCCATGCATAATATTCAAAGCCAAATGTCATGATTTTACTTAAAATGGTAACATACCTTCATACATCATGTCATACATAAATAAATGACCAACATACCCTTTTCTTGCATACATAAATAAATGACCAACATACCCTTTTCTGTCATACATACTTAAATGACCAAATTACCCTTTTCTTACATACATAAATGAATGACTAAATTACCCTTTTCTGTCATACATACTTAAATGACCAAATTACCATTTTCTTGCATACATAAATGAATTACCTACATCAATAAATAAATGACCAAATTACCTTTTTATGTCATAAATACTTAAATGACCAGATTACCCTTTTTCTTTCATACATACTTAAATGACCAAAATACCCTTTAATGTCACACATACTTAAATATAAATTACCAACATCCTATTACATAAACTTTAAATATAAATTACCATCATCCTATTACATAAACTTTAAATCCAATTCACCATCATCCTATTACATAAACCTTAAACACAAATTACAATAAACACTAATCAATTACAAGAGCTTTTCCCTTCGAATTTCCTAGATCATCAACACCACCAATTGTTTTGCCTAATTTCAGCTTCAGTATTCTCTCTGACTTTCTTCTCCTTATCCTCTTCAAAATATCTGAAATTGGCCTAACACAAACGTGTTGAACTTGGTTAACAGGAGCAACCTCCTGAACATTACCATTATCCACTTGGGCATTAGGATTAACCTCATCAACCTCCTGAACATTTACATTATCAAATTGGATAACAAGATCAACCTCCTCAGCCTCCTCATCTTGAACAACTTACTCAACCACAACAGCTTCCTCAACCATATCAGCTTCCTCACCCATAACACCCTCATCACCTTCATAACATCTAGGTGGAGTAAATTGCATATAATGACTAAAATCCCCTGCACTACTAGATTCAACATCAGTAGGAGCAACTTGCATATCATTTTGAGTAGTATCCATCTCAATTGGAGTCATTTCAACCTCTTCATGTTGTTGTGGTTCACTTGTACTACCGTACATGGCATGATATAATTATGTTAGTAACAAATTATATGTAATTAATCTTATATTTTAAATTTTTTTACGTGTTCTGCGTTTTGGTTCACACATACTTTGTGTTTCTTCTGTTTCTTCATATTTAACTTTTGGGGCCTTCTTTGTGGACAAGTGGCCTTGTTGTGACCTATCTCCTTGCAAATACTACATATGGTTTTCTTTCCAGCCTTAGAAACCCTGTGTGTTCCTATATTCTCTGTAGTGGATTTCTTCCTCTTAGTAGTTGGCCTACCAGGCATCCTTCTATTAATAAGAGGCAATGGTGGAGTATAGTTTGTCTCTGGCCAGATGTCACTGCTATTCATGGGAGAAATTCTGTAATTGTATGCCTTTCTAAATGTGGTTGTGCTAAACATGTTGTCTACATAGGCTTCTACATCCCTATTAAGAAAGGATATGCTAGCTACAGAATGAGCACATCCATATCCATTCAATTGTCACAACCTACATGAGCGTGTTTTTCTTTCTAAGTCCACCTCATATGCATCTATTTCTCCCCTTACCTCAAATTGGTTTAATCCACTTGGTAGTACCTGATAATGCCTTTGAGTTTTTTTTAAGCAAATTCACCTTATCCTTATCTTTGGACAAATATGATTTCCCCATTGTTGTCCCTTTAATTTCATGTTGTAGATTCTATCCATCATGTATAATCTTATCTCCTCTAACATGGTTATTATGGGCTTCTTCCTAGCATCTACTATTACAGCATTAAAACTTTCTGAGAACCCATTTTCAACTGCATCACAACACCTTCCAGTTTGAAAGAAAGCTCTAGACCATGTTTTAAGATCTTTCTCCATGAGATATTGATGGGCATCTGGGTTCAATGTCTCAATTTCTTTCATCACAACTTTAAAAGCATGCTCAGTTGTGGCTTTAGATGCTCTCCAAAACAAGGTATGATATATGGCACCAGTAAATCTCTTCTGCAAATTCTGGCAAATATGTCTAGCACACTGCCTGTGCTCTACATATGGCAGCAACTCTTTAACAGCCTTTATCAAACCCTGTAGTAGTAAAAAGGTTAAATTCAGATAGTCTAAAATTAACATAAATGCATTTCTATGTAAAATACTAACCTTATGTTGGTCTGACATTAAACTGAAACCATTGCCTAAATTCAAGTGTAGGTCATCAATGAGAAGCTCTAGAAACCACTTCTAATTATGCTTGTTCTCCACATTAACCATTGCCCAAGAAATATGATATATCTTGTCATTTGCATCCCTCCCAATAGCACAAAGCAATTATCCCTTACAAACACCTTTAAGAAAACATCCATCAAGACCAATTACCCTTCTAACCCTTCAATCCAACCTTGCTTAACTCCTTGAAAACAACAATAGAACTTGCTAAAATATTTCTTTCCATCTGGACCATCCTCCATATCAAGTTTCACAGTTGACCCAGGATTTGTCCTTAAAATCTCATGACCATATGACCATATCTTACCATAATGTTCAACAAGGTTACCTTCAATAAGTTTCAGTGCATACTTATTTGCTCTTCTACATTGCCCCATACTAACTTGGATACCAAACTTGGCCATTACCTTTAACCAAAGCTTCCTTACACTTATTTTATGACTTTCTACAATCTCTTTGGTATAGTGACTCCCAATCCATGCATATGTCACCAATGATCCAAACTTGAAGTTCCTAGCACAATTATGATCAGCTTTTAGTGACTTGATTTGGAAACTCTCTTCATCACTCATCCAGGAAGCCCATAATCTAAATGTGCAAGCACCTTTGCTACACCTCACCAAAAGTCTTGTCCTATCATTTTTTTCAAAACACAATTGATATCCATTAGCTACAACATAGTTACACAACATTGATTTTACTTGCCCTGGACCCTTAAATCTCATCCCTAGAATTGGTTTTTGTTTTTTCCAGTGTAATAGCTCATTAAAGATGGAATGAGTTTGTATGTTAACTTCAACTTCTCTCCCATTGTCATCATCTACAATGTTGTTTGCATCCTCATCATCAACACATAGCTTACTTAAGAAAGGATCATTTGATGTCCTATTCATATGCACTACATCCTCATTAAATTCAAGGGGCAACATTTCTAAGTTCATCTATGTTCTCTTCATTTTCACCGTCAATACAAGACTCATGTTCATCATCATCATTATCTTCATCATCATGCCACACCCATCAACACCAACCCCAATATGCTCCACATAAACCGAAATTACACCATCTGTTCCATAAGCATCAAAAATAAAAGCAGAATATTCCACATCATCTGAAATGGGATTAAGCCCTTCCATGAAGGACATGTCTGGTTCACAGTAGTAAGACTTTTTACACTCTTCATGCATGAAACGTTCGCAGAAGGTCACAAACTCAGAATAAGTCATAGAAGAAAAGTCAACATCATTGAAGATGGTTTTAACACCACCAGTGTAAGAGAAAGGATTTCGATTAAATACCCCTTGGTAGTTGAGTTCCACCATCGCAAACAGTCCATTAGGTTCCAATTGTGCCATTGCTGCGAGTTCTTTGTTTCTTTCAGCTCGATCACAGGAATGCTTCACAAACCCTAAATCAGTTTCTTTTACAGCTGAATAATGAAGACGAAGACTAGTGAAGTTCCATAGTTGAAGACGAAAGGCTTTAAGCATCGTATTTCATTAATTGACGTGGCATATCTCACGTGGCATCGGATTAGACAAAAAATATATATTAATTGACAAAATGGCATCGTATAACAGGAAACCTTCTAAAAGTTGCTAAAATGGT